TGGATCCATGCATTTTTATATCTAATGTTTTATTTAGTATTAATTGTAAGTTTTTTTTTACTGAGTGTTTTATATAAACATCAATACAATAAATATTGGGACGTTTAATAAATGAAATAATTATTAAATTTGCTTTTTTAAAATAGTAGTGAAACGCTGGTTTAGAAACCTAATAAGAACCATTCATTATTTTGCAGAAATTCATTTTAATAAAGATGTATGATTATAATATGATGTAATATTTAGCTAAGAATCATGTGAAAAATAGGTTTGTCTTTCTTTTCTACAATAGAATAAAATGGATATCTTTTTCGTTTAGTTCTAATGCTCAGTATCACATAATAAATTTCGTACAATATCATTGTCACCACTTAATCCAACACCTCTATCATCAATACCCCATACACCAGAAAATACACGCAACCACCGAAAATAAGACACACTAATAAACCGTTTCAAAGCATTAGGTCACTACTTTATTGAAAATTGTAAAGATGATATAAACATCGAAAGGGTGCGAAGGGCACTGTCGGTCCGTAGAAATATGTTGATTCGTAGGTTTGCACGGTGCCAAAGAAGTCAAGGTTACACCTTTTAAAGCTTACTGCCAATCTTTTTACGCATGCAGCTTATGGACAACATATACAAAACGCGCTTACAGTGACCTGCGTTTTTTATATAATAACATTTTCAGGGCTCTGTTGAAGCTACCTCGCATTTGTAGCGTATCAGGGATGTTTGGAGAAGCACGAACAGATGACTTCTTCGCAATAATGTGTAAAAGAGTGTACTCTCTGTTGAGTAGAATGCGTGGCGGCCGCAACAGTATTATGAACATATTCGCCGACCGATGTGATGTTGGAACCATTGGTAAAAAAGTGATTATACATATGGAACTGACTATAGTATCATTGTATTACTAACATCTTATATGGATCAAGGTCTGAAATAAAGAACTATTATTATTATTAATCTTAGTTACTTTGCTACCAAATATAGGTAGTGTAGAGAGATTATTTTAGAGAATAGTGTTTTAACGTGACGTAATATAAGTGAATCTATAGCACCATTTACAAAATTTAACAAAATTAATATCTTGGGTGTAATGTTGAATCGAAACATAAAAACAGATTGGATCAGCATCAAAGATGCCAGAGATCTTATTTAGCAATCGCAAATTCCCAAAACATAAAGTGGGCCATACCCAGACGTTGATTCAGATATCTTAATAATGGTATTTTACTGACTTTCTCAAACTCAAGAGTTATCATACTCTTTTTACTTTTCTTATTAACCAATGTATTTTAATTCAAAGATGTTCAAAAATTAATTTCAAAGTTAAATACATAGATACCAAAACCGAATTTGTGATATTGACATAGTTATTTTTTTGTTTTAAAAATGTAGAGCGTTCGGTGACATAGTATTCCTCAAATTAAAAAGGCGCTTTTGTGATATTGACATTGATATTTTTTATTATTCTAAAAATGTAGAGCAATAGATGAGATAGTATTTTATATATTTATATTTTCAAAAAGGGTTCACCATGAAATATGTACATAATTCTTGAACAAAGCAAAAGTTCATATAATCTCCCAAATACCAGGCGCGGACTACTGGACGTCGCTCTAAGCGTCCTTGGAATTTTGTCAAAGTCGCACTATTGCGTACCATGTAATGTGAACTATGCATCTTGGTGTACCTAACATTTACGGGCAAGCGCTAGAATTTTACTTTGAAATAAGATCCTTGTAAATTATTACACTACAATATTTAAACATAACTTACATAATTAGAACTCACTAGACGCTTAATTATAAAATGGATATTAGATAGGGCTTTAGTTAGGTATCTCTGAATAGAGATTAATTAAATTATTAAAAGTTCTTATCATTAAAATACTAATTAAAGTGTTATTATACACTAATACTATCGATGATAAAAGAAAGTTAGTATTTATAGATCTATTAATCGTTACTATTTCTTTGTACTTTTTGATATTGCTATGTATTCGTGTTATATAAATCTTCCTTAACATTATCGTAGCGTTACATCGTGCATGAAAAGGGGGATAGTCATTTCCAGCTACGGTGATGATTTTAATTGCTCTTCGAAACAATCATCGGTGCATCATATATTAAAGTGCATTCACACGCCTACGCAAGACGACTTTTATATAATTTACCCATGCTCTATATTATATATACCTCTATTATTAATATACCATATTATATACCTCTACGCGGTTGGATGGAATGATAATAATTATACCAAGGCTATAAAACCAGAAATTTGTATTTGTGAAAAAAAAACTGTTGCGTTAATTACTTACCTATTACAGTTTAGCGATTGATCGTTTTTTAATTAAGAACATGTAACGAAAAATTATTCTTGTAGTATTTGGGCCAGTATCTACCACTACAGTATTTGTAATCGACAACAATGCAGAAGGAAAAAAATAACACTACCTAGGAATTTGTATTATTTTTGGTCGTGTTATTCATTTTCGTCTCCATCACCAGCTCGTTAAAGTCTACAGCTGGACATGGTCTTCTCCAGTTTTATGGAGGATTAGCCTTGGTTGCCACGCTTGGCAAGCGGATTACGATCACAGTAACAGGCGTCTAGTACCTTGCTATAACAGGCGTCTAGTACCTTGCTAAACACCTGGTTATGTGCTACTCACCATTGCTCTGGGTATTTAACGTCAGCCTATATGAGATGTTTATCCCGCTATTTATCGGAAGCTATAAGATTTTGGCATTTAACATAGTCAATTCTTAAGATGCCGGCCGGACGAAATTGGATGCTGGATTCTCTTACGCCGCTATCACTTGGCGGGGAGTTTTAATTATATCCGGTAATTGCTTGTATCCCCTTAAATATCACTATATGCAAGTAACCCGGATTTGATTTCCACTGTATCGATAAAATTGTTAATTGAAATTTTAGGTTTTGACTAAGACTTTTTATTTGAACTATTATTATTCACTGTTGACTGCCTCGTTGGTCTACTGGTTGTAGTAGTACGACTGCTAATCATGAGGTCCTGGGTCCGAAATCCCGGGTCGGGCTAAAAAATTTAATTGTTGAGTTTTTCCGTCAAGAAATTCTTAGTAGTTAGCTTCCGTAGTCAGGAAGTCGGAGGTGTCTCACTTCCGTGCCTCGGAAAGTACGTAAAGCCGTTGGTCCCACGCCTGATCTCTCTCCGGTCGTGTCGGCTTACCGCCCCATCGGATTATGAGAGTGAGGGAATAGAGAGTGCACCTGTGGTTGCGCATACACTTGGGCTCTATAATCTTGTCCTGCGCCGATGGCTAGCCGCTGAGGCAGGCCGCTGTGGCCGAAATTGGGTCTGGAGGACGTTACTATTATTATTATTATTATTTTTATTCACTGTAGTATATATTTATTTTAGTATTTATTAAAGATACGAAATGTTTAAATAGCGAGTGTAAACAATTTATTTAATTATTTGTAATAAGTTTATACCTTTACTAAATAGTAATTTGTGTAAACTTATATTCAATTAATCCGTGTTTTTTTTTCAAACGTAAAATTAATTGCGTTTGCGTTTTATTAAACTTCGTACACAAACCTAAACAATTAACATTACAAACTACGTTTACACACTTATACTCAGTAATAAAATCTACTACACTAATAGAAAAATATTTCATTCGTTCTGTAAAGCTAAACGATTAATTTAGCTGTTTTCACGCGAGGGAAGTTGAAATGACAGTGTTTCCTTTTGTCTGTAATCTATTGTTACCACGCGCGAATTGTGTCTTCAATTTTAATCGAAATCAAATCACTTGTAAATTCCTACGTACTTATATATCTTGCGGTTCAATGGATTGATAAAATTTGATTTCGTATTGTTTCATAAGAAAAATAACATTTCTTTAAGAATCACTTGTCTTGTATTGTATTTATTCTGTTTCTCTTATGTTTATTAGTCCTTTTTTACTCGTAATATATTGTTAAGTAATAATAATAACAAAAATATGCTTAATTTTATGCACCACCCAGATTGGCAGAAGTATAAGAGACTTGTATGACATACTTGTTTTGAATAGACCTATTTTTTATAGGATAGAGTGACAAACTAGCACACTGTCCATCTGATGGTAAGTGGTTGCTGCGGCCCATAGACATCTACATCTTTCCTCAATTATAAATCGAAATGCAGATGCGTTGTCACCCGTGAGGACTGAGATGGAATGCCTCGTTTCCAGTAAAAAGGGTTTACGGTTCTCTACACTCACAATACGAAACACAGCAGCATTAAGCTACTATTTTACGCTGGTATTCTATGAGAGCGTGGTCTTTCCCCGGACGAGCCAACCCATTCATGCTACAACTATACTACTATATAACCGTAGCATGGCTCTACCACGTATTATCATATGCTTTTAAAATACTCATTGATATTACTGTCGTATTCATAAAATTTATAATGTAAAATGTCTGCTGGACTTTACCTTTGTGGGGATGATCAGCGTGACGATGCTTGGCAGGTAGATTGATGGTCGCAGTTCCGGACGTCTTGCACCTTTCACGCTGCTCATAAACACCGATCGGGATGTATCACGGCTGGTGTAAACGAGATGGCATACCACCGTCTTTTGGAAGCCATAATATTTCTATGTAATTTCAAATAGTCGCTTCTTACGACTTCCACGTGGCCAAAGGGGCGACGACACACTTACGACGTAACTACATGCCAGATTTTTATTAAATAAATGCACCTTTCACGCTGATTATAAACACCGATCAGGATGTATCACGGCTGGTGTAAACGAGATGGCATACCATCGTCTTTTGGAAGCCATAATATTTATATGGAATTTCAAATAGTCGCTTTTTACGACACCCACAGGACAAAAGGGGCGACGACACACTTACGACGGAACCACGTGCCAGATATTTATTAAATAATTTAATAGCTCTATTATTTCAGTGTAAGATAGATTGGGTAATATTTTTGAATATTTTAGATGGGGCATTTATCAGTTGTGATACCACCAGACATCGCAGATGGCGATGGTTCAGCTGCTAGCGCACCTGAAGGGGGCAAAATTGAACTTCGCTGCACGGCAACTGGTGTACCAGAGCCCACGGTGTCGTGGAAGAGAACCGAAGGACGCAATATTGTTTTTCGAGATGAAGATGGGAAGGAAGTTAAGGGTGAGATTAATTTTAAAAAATTAACATACCTTAATGATTTTAAGAACTTTTTAAGGTAAAGTGTTTTGTTTTGAAAAAAAAAATATTTTTATACTTCTTAAAGAAACAGATAACATCATAGTTATGTAATATGTAATACTATATATCTGAGGGTGTGAATATTTTATGATTTAATAATATTGTTTATTTACTGTATTTTTGCTTAATACAAAAGAGTTTTAAAATATTCTTCGTATTAGAATTCATAATTAAATTATTAATTTGCACACTTAATCTTCAAGAACTCCGAAAATTTTTCCGTAATGTTTATGTAAATCGGTTAATTGACAACAAATCATGAACATAAAGGCAAAGTAATTGATATATACATCGTAAAAAATGGGATAAAAACGTCAATTTTCTTTTGAAATTCATTCATATCGGAGAGATTCTTCTAAGTGGTAAAAAGAAACAGGACTAATTTTACATTCAAAGCCCGCCTGAAGCGGGCGCAGGTGCCCGCGCGGTTAAAACATTGGAGTTTTATGGGATTTATTAGGAGATTGCTTCAAGATATTGAAAAGAATACTAATAATACGAAATGAATATACATTGATGTTAGCGAAATGAGGTCTGAATAATGGAAAATTGAGTGTCATAAAAATATTTTTTTATAGAATAAGGGTGACAAACGAGCACACAGTCCACCTGATGGTAAGTGGACGCTGTGGCCTATAGACATCTCAATAAGAATCAAAATGCAGATGCGTTGTTGCCCCTGAGAACTAAGATGAAATGCCTCGTTTCCAGTAAAAAAGGATTTTTGGTTCTCTACACTCATCATAAAAAACACAGCAGAATTAAACTGCTATTTTACGCTCGTATTCTGTGAGAGCGTGGTCCTTCCTCGGCCGATCCGACCCATCCGTGTTACAACTATAATATAGATGTAGCTTGGCTCTACTACGTATGCAAATTAAAAATATTGCAAGGGAAAACAATTTTATAAAATTGTTTTTCATTTTATCTTAAATTTATGTTAGTGTTGTTTAATGTCAAATAATATTTTATATAAAACGCTGTTCACTACGCTCTAGTTAACAGATTTCGTACTTTATTTCACACTTATCAGATAAACTTTGCCAACATTTTTAATTTTCAAAGTAAGTGTGTTTACGCGTTTGAGACCGAAATTCATTTCCTCAAAAAATGTTCTTAAGAACTCAATTACTACTTAAACAAAATGACAAAGCAATCCGGGTTTGTCAGGAAATTAAATGAACGATTAATTTGAAATCGGCCTGAAAAGGTTGCTACCTTTTATTGTCATAATGAGGTATCCTTTACTGACATAAAAACAGGCTTCTTAAACAATTATGAAATAGTTATTCCAACAAATATGTGTTTACCTATTGAAAATTTTCTGCATCTACGATAATAATTTTAAATGAGAGCTTAAGTATCAAAATCGAATGCGATTGTCCTAAGCTATTGCAAATAGGTATGCTATTTATTGAAAGATATAAAGATAAAGCGTAAAAGTATTTGTAGCTCGGCAAATAGAGGGAGTTAAAATAGTGAACGATGCCAAAACATCTAATCTCTGGCATTTGCCATTAATTAAAACTGGAAAGATTGTGAAGCTTATCAATTTCTTTACCAGCAGGCTAGGTGTACATGCGTTCAGAAGCCACTTACCATCTGGTGGACTGTAGGTTCGTTCCGCAATTCAGTTTTAAAAATGATAGAAATGCAATGAACAAAAAAATAAACTTGTAGATTTGAAACTAACGTTTTTGTTATTTGATGATAAAAGTAAAAAAAATATTTTCTAATATTATCCCTGTAGTAACTCATTCCGTAAGTTTCATGAGAGGTTTTCTAAGGCAAATGCTAGGAACATCTCAAAAACTTTTAGTAGATTGTGGTACCACCTCATTTTTACCAGACTTAAAAAGAAAAAAGTGTATTGGTTATGAGAAATATTCTTGTGAAGGAGCTTTTATAAACGCACTATCGAAGTTCGAGAATAACTCGACTTGTATATATTAGGTACCTATTTAAATACCATTTTGTAATTTAATTTGGCCACTTTAGCCTATGGTTTGACTTGCAATTTAAAAATCAAATAAATTATATATTTAAGACAGGTTAATCCTCTTTCTTTAATAATGATTTTGTCTGTATTATCGCCTTTATTGTGTTATTTTATGCCAAATTTTTTTCAATAATAACTTGATTTTGCATTGTAATTGAGTTATTTTTGAGAAAGTTAAGACGTAAAAATTATGCTATTCAATCTACATGTAATGTCAAAGACGTACACGAATCCAACATTACTAAACGAATAAACGTTATCGCAAAAATCGCTATCTTCAACCAGAGTAGAATTTTGATTTAAAAAAAACTGAAAACAGTAGTGGAAGCGGATTCATCTCAAACTACGTCTGAGCTAGCATTGGAAAGTGTAAAGACAATATTATATTATTTCCAGCAAATTGGTAATGAGTACCACACAAACTGAGTGAATCATAGCGAAAGGCCCGTGTTCAAACTTTTATTATATTACTAAATCGTCTCTGGAATGCGGAATTTTTGGGTTGTTGTTACTTGTGATGAAAAGTGGATCATATAAAGCAAGCGTTTATCATTGTGGTCAGATTCAAGAGTCGAAGCTAAATGAAGCCTGAAACTAAATATTAGCCTGTCGAAGTATTCAAACTAGTCTAATACCCCGTAGAATGCTTACTAAAACGTAAAAATTTCCTTAATCTTCGTATATTATGTTCAAAAAGTTCGAAAAAGTATATTATTCACATTGTATGATCTAAAGATGACGCTGTTTAAAATGTTCTACTGGTTTCAAAACTTATCAGCAATATCTTTCTTAAAAGTCAAAATGTTAAACGAACCAGGATTTGGACAACAGCGTTTTTCTAATAAAAACTGTAAATATATAACTGCGATTGCCAACTCGCCCGCCAAGCGTGGCAACTATGCCAAATATCTCTATGAGGCAATTTATGTGGTAGGACTACGTTCAGCAGTGTACTTTTAACATTTTGTAACGGTAATCTACCAATACGACTGTTTGTGGGTTGTATTTCAGCCAGATCCAACGTTTGCGAAAAAACACACTGCAGTTTTGATTTACTGTCGTGCTGTATTTGTCCCTCAATATAATTTTCTATTTAGTGATCGATTTTTCGCCACTTAAATTTTTTTATCTTTGATGTTTAATTACGTCTAAAAATAGGCGTTATAATAGAATTACTGCACTATTGCTCTACAAAACGTTAATATGAAGTTGGTATGAACATTTAAAACGCTTTAAAAGCTGGGATTTGGCTCTTTATTTGTAAAAGTATACTTAAAATGTCGAAGACTATAAAGGAATGCAGTTACACCATGCTGTTAGGACGAGACGGACTGCAAATTCTGTCAAAACCTGAACACAACAAAACCTTATAAAATTATAAAAATGTTATCGCGTGAAATGCTTAATTCTTATTGCAAATACTTAAACAAGATATGTGAATTATTAAACCATATCTGAAGGAGGGTGCTTATTATCAGTAGATAGGATATGGTCCAAACTAATCCTAGAAGCTTAAAAATATCAAATCAATGAAATGAAAACCTAGTGGAAGGCATGAAATTTTTTTCCCTTTATTTTAATTTTATGCAATAGGGGTTGAAAGGAATGCACAGTTTACCTGATGGTAAGTGAATACTATTACCTTTAGAAACCTACATGTATTATAGGTTAATAATAAGATATTCTTATTTTAATTACGTGCGTATTCACTCCATAGGACTAGGACAGTAATCCTTGTTACCTGTAAAAAGAGTCTTCGTTTTCAACACACATCATACGAAACACAGCAGCATGGAGCTGCAATTTTACGCTGGTATTCCATAAGAGCGTGATCTTTTTCATATATAGCTGCAATATAGCTGCAACGTGGCTCTAACATGTTAAAAAGAGCTCTTTTTGAATAAAAAAATTACGATTGAAAAGCACTATCACGAGCAAAATGTCAAATGTTTCATCCTACAGATCACTTGCTGATACGAGGGTAGTCACTCGAAGACCGTTCTCCCCATCGGTTTTCGGTTTTTTTTAAGCTATACCTTCTAAGTGATTTTAGGCTTTCTCCTACGGCCAGTATGTAGTAGTATATTACTGTCAACGCGCACTCTGTACACCTTTGTGTTCATATTTTGAGGAACACATGTTGAGAACATAATCTCTCAAAATAGATGTATATATAATAAATCTCCAACCGTATTGGATCCATCATCGATTAAGTTACCGAGACAGATAATTTGCTATAGGTCAAAATACTCGTCAAAAATTTCAAGCGTTCCTAACAACCATAACGGCCTAGATTTGACATAGACGTTATCTTTGGCTTGTTCGTGTTCATCTTAAAATTATCTGTAGCAAACCACTATTAATGTCATTGAACTTGGTATTAAAGTTACCCAGCGTTTTTTATATAATAACTATATAGTAGACAGACCAAAAGTGGGTGATGTATTCACCATTGATGTATCTTTTACATTACTTTTTAAAAATGTATTTCAATGTATGGGTGAGATTTGTCACTGAGCGTCACTTTGTCTTAGTTAGTCAGTCTCTGATGTGGATAGGTTTCGTACTTCAGCACTTTGATATACCGACAGTCAACTTGACACCACTGTAGAGTCTGTAGCACCGTCCAACATTGTCAAAATCAAATGCTTTCTTATGAACTATAGTTCATTTATTATTTTTTTTATATATATATATATATATATATATATATATATATATACTTACGCAAGACACAGCGGCAGGTTGTACTCCTAGATCTTCTGATTAAACTAAAGAGTACGGTCTTATGTACAATTTACCAAAGGGTATGATGTACTCTATGGATTTTTATAAACTTGCATGTTCGGGAGGCTGGAACTCGTCAAATCTGCATACGAGACGATTCGTAATGGCTCTCAAAAAGCAAGTAAGTAAGCTTGAG